TATATATATAAACCTAGTATCAAGAATTAAGTATAAAAAACCCCCAAAGGAGCAGTTTTCTTTTAAAGGAAGTTTCCATTCAATCAGTACCTGTCAAAATAGTCCGTCTCTTGCACTGTTCTTCTACTCCTCCTTGTCGTTTACCAGCTTGAGTAAAAGGCATCTCAAACATAAAGCGACGAATGTTATGAGTCCTTTCAAAATCAGTTTTTCTTTCTTGCAACTCTTTTTCTTCAAAGTACGGAATTACATGTGTAACTTGAATATATGCATATTTTGAATCTAAATCCTTAGGATTTACCTTAAAAACATAAGGAAAAAAACCCCCAAATAGCTACATTGTGAATAAAATGGATTTAAATGTAGTCACATGACTTTCAGAAATTAAATTAGGTCTCTTGACCTGTAAGTTACTGAAGACACAGGAAACTATTGCTCTCATGGGGCTTTCTCTGACATACTTTGCTAGTCTTCTATTTGGAAGACAACACAGTTAGATGTATTAAAACACACGGGCGTTTGTTTGGTGGTTTGTGGTGTTTGTTTTTTTTAAACCCTACCATTATTGATATTTGCTATATGCAGAACTGCAAACAAAACATAATACAGAGTTTTACCCATGCTTAACACTTAATACTGGATGTGAAGGCACAGAAACAGAAACCCCAGAAACATATACTTGTCCTCCACGACTGTTGATACAACAGTAGACTAGAGACCAAAAATTGTTATTCATATAAAAAACAGTTAATAACTAAAAATAAACCCCTACATTGCAAATAGTCCAGGTATCACTTTTAAAAGGCACTCCTCTCAACCTGGCTGTCCCAACTCTGACACCCAAAGAATACTCTGGTAGGAAAAGGGAAATTGAAGGCTTCACTACTCAGTTAATTTTGTTTCTAGAACTGGCAAAGAGCTGCGTGGACTGGCAGATCTTTAATTTGGTAAGAGTGGCAACTAATTTCCAGTACCAAGGATTTTTTATTTTTTTTGTAAATTCCCCCAACCATTGGACGAAGAATGCACCCTAAATCTGTGCATCTCAAACTTGTTGGGTATCACTTCAGTCCCACTTTAAACACTCATGTTATCTCTGCCTGTCGCTGAGCCATTTCACTTCTATAAACTAAGTGTGAAAAACAACAATGCAAATACACACATGAAGTCATCAGGTTAGTCCTGGAGCAAATTGGGAACAGAGCTAAGGTCTCACTTCTGTTATCCATTCTTTACTGGAACATGCTGGTTGGTTACTTGAGGGAGTGACTACATCAATGGACAAGGGAAGAGCTACTGATGTCATCTATCTGGACTTCTGTAAGGCCTTTGACATGGTCCCCACAACATCCTTCTCTCTAAATTGGAAAGAGATGGATTTGATGGATGGACTATTCGGTGGATAAAGATTTGACTGGATGGTCACACCCAGAGAATAGTGGTCAAAGGCTCAATGTCTGGATGCAGATCAGTGATGAGTGATATCCCTCAGGGGTCTGTACCGCATCCAGTCCTGTTTAATATCTTCATCAATGACACAGACAGTGGGATCAACTGCACCCTCAGCAAATTTGCAGATGACATCAAGCTGTGTGGTGCTGTTGACATGCCTGAGGGATGGGATGCCATTATCTGGACAAGCTTGAGAAGTGGGCCCATGTGAACCTCATGAGGTTCAACAAGGCCAGGTACGAGGTCCTGCACATGGCTTGGGGCAAGCCCCGCACAACTACCGGCTGAGCAGAGAATGGATCGAGAGCAGCCCTGAGGAGAAGGACTTGGGAGTGTTGGTGGATGAGAAGCTCAACATGAGCCAGTAGTGTGCACTTGCAGCCCAGAAAGCCAACTGTGTCCTGGGCTGCATCAAAAGAGGTGTGACCAGCAGGTCGAGGGAGGTGATCCTGCCCCTCTACTCTGCTTTGGTGAGACCCCACCTGGGGTACTGCGTCCAGCTCTGGGGGCCCCAGTACAGGAGAGACATGGATCTATTGGAGCAAGTCCAGAGGAGGGCCATGAAGATGATCAGAGGGCTGGAGCACCTCTCCTATGAAGACAGGCTGAGAAAGTTGGGATTGTTCAGCCTGGAGAAGAGAAGGCTCCAGGGAGACCTTATAGCAGCCTTTCAATAATTAAAAGGGGGTTTATAAGAAAGATGGGGACAGACTTTTTAATAAGGTCTGTTGCAATAGGACGACAAGGCATAACAGGTTTAAACTGAAAGAGGGTAGATGTAGATTAGACCTTGGGAAGAAATTCTTCACTGCGAGGGTGGTGAGACACTGCAACAGGTTGCCCAGACAGGTTGTAGGTGCCCCATCACTGGAAACATTCAAGGTCAGGTTGGATGGGGCTTCGAACAACATGACCTAGTTGAAGATGTTCCTGCTTATTGCAGGGGGGTTGGACTAGATGACCTTTCAAGGTCCCTTCCACCCCAAACCATTCTATGATTCTGTTTTTAAAGTGTATTAAAATCTGGAGTGTTTTCAGCTTATTACACTGGAACTGGTAATTTATGTATTAATTCTGATACAGCTGATAAAAAAAAGTTCTCTACAAATGCTGACAAACACATGCATTATAATTAATTGTAAAGAATTCAGGAGAGTACACCGGAAGAGCTCTGAAAAACTGAGAGTACAATATAAATCTCTTGCCTTCTGTGGCACAAGACTTGCATAAGTCATCTTCTCCTTTTAAAGTTCCAATTTGAGTAGAATTATTGAAAAGCCCACTATTGATGCACTTTCAGGTCAAGAAGCCCAGCACTGTGTGATCCTAGTGGTAGAATCAAGGAACAGGAGAGACAGGAAATAATACAAGAAAATCACCAAAGAGTCTGAAGCCAAACAAAAGTTAAAAGTCGGCTGAGGAAGGGAATGAAAGGACTACATTGAAAAGAAAGACATCTTGTGCAGTATGCATTCTTCTCAGCCTATGGATACTGTAAGTCCTCTTCAGTTCACCAGTTATGGAGTCTTCACTTACAAAGAAAAGCATTTCCTATAACAAACCTAGATTTCATTAGATGACTTCATGGAGCATTTTTTCTACAGTTCAAGCATTTATAAAATTGAACAGGCTCAAAGACATAGGCAAAAGATAGAACAATTGATACAGAATTAAAATGTTATTTACATATGGTACTTCTCTTAGAAGAGTAGTCTGTTTCTTATTTCAGAAGAAAGTTTGGAGTCTGCTCTCAAGGTGCAGAAAAGGGAAAACTTCCAAAGAATGACTGTGCAAGAACTGGCCTGAAATACAGCTCAAGGTAACAAAGGATATGATCATAATCCAAATTTTTTCTATGATACAACTATTATTTTGAGAGGTCACACAATGAAAATGAAGCCTTTTCATTTTTCTTAAAGGTAAACTTAATAGTAGACGATATTTCTCCCGTGCCCTTCAACTTCAACAAGCATGTGTACCAAATGAGTAAAGGACAGCAATCCCACAGTATTTTAAGTGGATTAGTAGAAGTAATATATCAGAATTTTTTAGAGCGCACAAATAATATCATACTTTGCCAGAATCCTGAATCATTTTGACATTTTCAGATCCAAATTTGTCAGAGTAGAGTTTTTGGAGTCTCTGGGAAATTTCTGAAAGAGGCGTGAGTTTAGGCTCTTTATAGATATATTCCTTTCCATCTTCATCCTCAAAGAATCCCTGTAAAAAAAAAAAAGTAGTAATCAAAATCTTGGAAAAAGCCCTACATAAGGGAATGATTAAGATGAACATAAAGTTTGTGGCTCAAAGCAAATATAAACATTTAACATCAGGATTCAAGCAAATGTAAATAGAGAGGAATTAAGATTCAAGTAAAAAAGGTTTCCTAAGAGAATGAAAAAAAAAAAAAAAGAGAACCTAAACAAAACCAAATCACCCACAACAGAAACATGTAATTATCTACTACAGAATGTGTGAAAGATAATGGAAACACACAAAGTTAAAATTGTAAAGGTTTGTTGTAATTTTATGGTGTGCCAAGCCTTTGAGATAACTTTTCTTCACTTTTTAAACAAAAGTGAACTTTCAGCACTGTTTCACTTGCCAAAACAGGAATCTTCTTGCCCAACAGGACTATCTGATTCACAAGTGAGTACTTTGGCAATGGTTTATATAACAATAATCTGAAAAATTTCTTTATATAGTAATAAAAATTTAAATTTTATGTTGTACTAAATAGGCATATACTACTTTAATTCATTACATAAAGCATTTGTTTTAAAACCATAACTGAATGCAATCTAGAGTACATGGAAAGTGAAACAGGTCTTTGGTTTAAAACAAGCCATGTCCGAGTTCATGTTTGAAATCAGAAAATAAATATTTTTCTCAAACAAAAACAGACAAAATAGAAAAGCACAACATATCATGTATAAACACAGGCTAGACTGACAAAAATACCCACATCAAACTAAGGTGAAATGCAGTAGTTTTTACTGCATTGCTTGCTTTGTAAGCAGGTACTGTAATTACCTCAACATCTGTTTCACTGTCTGTAAACTGGTATTGCTATAAAGTTATAAAAGACAACAGAATACATGTAAAGTTATACTGCTCAGAGTATTTTACAATTCTCCATGCTCAGCTGAACAATTAGCAACTGGGCTATGCATGTAGGAAGTGTATTACTCGATACTGCGTGATACCATACAGATACATATGCATTCTAGACGTGAAGCTGTCCAATACACAGCCAGAACTTTTCTTTAAAGCATGCAATACCGATGCATAGAGTGATTTGTTCTCTAAATGGAACTTAATGTTATTTTGTAATTGTAATGGCTGTTAATGCATACCAATCTAAGAAGCAGCCTTGCAAACCACACTATAGCACTACAGACATTAAGTCAATACATTGTTGAGAACTGACATTATAGAAAACTTACCGCTGCCTTAAGGTAGTAAATAAAAGGAGGAAAAAAAAAGCAAAAAATTTACTGAGGAAAATAAGGAAGAATTGTATTGGAATTGACAAACGTTTTAAACTTTATTATTGATTGTGTTTAATTATTTCTTACAGACCACATTTCTTGTGCTTTTTATGTCATGGTATCAATACAGATGATGAAATAGCATACCTTGGAAAATAAATTCAGGTGTTTCTTACTGCATACTACAGACAAATGAAAGTTAAGTAATACTCACCTGTCCAAAGAACGCTACCCTGAAATAAGTTCCCAGCAGTCTCTTGCCTGTATGCATAACTTCTGTTACTTTACTGTATGCTCGATGAAGAGTATCATATAAATGAGAAAGCCTCTAAAAATAAAAGAAAACAATCATGGGGTAAAGGAATAACATAGAATTTTCCTATCTTAAAACAACAATGAACAATGTCCTTGTAGTTAATAACTTAAAACATTGTTTCACTGAACAGTAGTAATAGGTTTAGCACTTATATCAGAATGACAATATGCAAGATAAATTTTTAATTATTTTATTTAAATAAAACAATTTTTAATTATTAAAAAATAAAACAAAAATTTCAACACATTTCAGTTACAGTTGTAACACTCCTTTTATGTGCAATGTATCATGCAGTTAGACTAGAAAAATTGAAATTTTTTTTCTTGCTCAAATTTACTTATGATGGAAATTAGTACCTCAAAATCTCTCCGTTTTTCATAAATAGGAATTATAAGTTTATATATGTCAGCAATGAGTTCATAGCGTTCTGCCTTCCAGAGTCCATCAGCACACTGCTCCAACAATTCCATCAGCACATCCTAGATTTGGATACACATTTGAAAAAGTAAAACAGTTCAGTACTCATGAAAGCACAGCAAATAATTATACCAAAGTTCTTCCCAATGAAAAGGGAGATCCTGCCTCAAAACAAAATTATCTACACATAGTAATTTAAATTACTGTGGCAATCAAAAATTGCTAAAAGGAAACAAATAAGAATGGTCTGAGTGTACACATGCACTCTTTGTATTTACCACAAAGAGTGTTTTTCTTTCAGATACTCCTGACCTCCTAAGTCTACAAATGACACCTGTGTGAGGACTCTAACTTGTCTTACCTTGTAACATGTTTTTTTCAAAGTGTTCTTTCCTTGGTGGTTTGTTTTGTTTTTCTGCAGATAACTCTATTTTTAAAAGGTAGCTAAACGAACACTTAACTGTAATAGTTCAGAAGGATACCATCAAATAAATTACATCAACAGTAAAACAAAGATACAATCCCAAAATCTGTACTCAGGAGTAATTATCAAGGTTCAACAGTTAGAGAAGCTAAGAAATCCCAAAAGGTCAAAACAGTCACAAGCAAGAAACCACCTTGGTTTTGCTGGGTTTGATCCTAATACTCTCATAGCAAAAAGACAGTTATTTAAGATTAAATAAGAACTATGCTTACTTGTACATTAAAATAGAAATACACATTTTGCATTAGAGCAGTCACATCATAATTATAAAGTCCTTTCCTTCAGTTTGTCATATTACTTTATTTTCTGTGGATTTAATTTCTACTTCAATAAGTGTAACAAAACTAAGATAACATTATTACTTCACTCTGTTTTTCATAAATTCAAAATTACAGGGCTAACTCCATTAACTAAATTACAACAATGTTACAGATATTATGGAACAACTTATAGCTCCTGTGACAAAGCTACTCACAGCTGGATTGTGATGGAACCACTGAGCCCACTTCCATTCACATTCCCTAACACACCTCAGTCCTCTTCAAACATGTCTGGAGCTCCAAGAACCTCCAGGAGAATCCACGTCTGAGATTGAGAGGTGTCAGAAGACATGACATTTTTACTTCTTGAGACCTTCTGGTACCACTCTTGCATCATAGTGGGTGAAGCCAGAAGCTGGAAATAACTCCTTTTATCCTAAGAAGGGATCCAATACTATGCTATTCCCTTCCTTCCCTCGGTAAAGGACTGAGATAGCATAGACATCACTAAGAAAAGCTGACTTTAATACTGAGACTGAAAAATGCTACCCTTATCCACGTGCTGCAACAATCCCTAGAACATCCCTTCCTTTCCCCCAGTCATTATGGGACTGTATAGACTTCCCAATATCTCCATCCTCAGCAACCAAGGGATGAGAACTGAAAGACCAGCATCACTGCTGGACTACAAGGGCTGCCCACAAACGCAGTTCTATGACAAGAGTCAACTCAGACACCAGAGGGCATCCAAATGCAGCAAAGCAGTAAAAATTTTTTTTGCACGCAGGAGGGAAAAAAAAAAAGATCTAAAGAGCAAAAGCTTCACGTGGGAGAGCTGACAGGAGGGAAGAAAAGAACAGAATATTTCTGGGCCACCTGTCTCAGCGCTTATCCATTCTTCTGGGAAGAAGTTTTTTCCATATATCCAATCAGAGTTTTCCTTGTAATCTGTGAGAATGGCCTCTTACTCTTTTATTGTGCATCTCTTAGAAGAGTCTGGGTCTTCCCCTAACCACCTTAGTGTCTGGACTTTTTCCAGTTTGTTGATATCTCCCTTGACTTTGTAGGTGCAGCACAAGGCACAGAATTAATGATGGGGCACCACAAATGCCAAGCAGGAGGGGGAAAACCCGCTTCCCTCCACTTCTTGACTTGCCGATCTTTCTGATACAGCCCAGCATGCAGTTGGCCTTTGCTGCCACAAGGCTACACTGCTAATTCCCCTTCAACCTCTCCTCCACCAGAACTTCCAGGTCTTTCGGTAGAGTTGCTGCCCAGCCTGTCCGTCCCCTGCCTCTACCGAGACATTGGGCGATTATTTTTTTTCTTCAGATGCAAGACTTTGCATTTGTCTTTGTAGATCTTTGAGACGGTTGTCACTTGTTCCTCCAGTTTGATACCCCTGTAAATGGCAGCCCTGCTCCCAGCAGATCAGTCACACCCCCTCTAATCAGTTTCATCCACACTTGATGATACACTGTATCCCATGATCCAGATGGCTAATGAAGATGTTAAATAGTATCAGCCTGAGTATCCTTGAAGAATACCAGTCTTCATCATACTTAAAGTATCTTGTATGTTTGGGTAAGTACTTATTTCTGTTTTATAAAGTGCTTTAATAAATTGAATTTTACTGTACATTGATCACTTACAAGAGCTATAGTGCCATCTGAGCTGTGAAGCTCTTTCATTTACCATCTGCAAGTTAGAATAATTCCTCTCATGGAAAGTTATAGCTAACAAGAGACCAGAAAAAACAGGAAGGTAGAGATTGACTGTGGTGGAGCGGTATTCTGAATTTTGGAAAGCAACAAATCTGAATAAAATTGTTTCCAACCTTAATCTGCATGGAATCTGGCATCTGCCACAGGCCTGTTCACCATAGCTCAGATCTCTTACAGATGGAGTGCTTACAGCAAAATCTAGCATGGAAAGGCTGTCAGGTTCCAGGCTTTTACTTTCCTAGTTCTGACACCCAGATGATTTTAGTTCTGCAAGGAGAATTTGACTTGTGCTGCTGAATAGGCTGTCTAGGTAAACAACTATTTTAATGAAATGCACACAGTAACTTTGTTTAAAAAAAAAAAACAAACCCAAAACAACAACAACAAAAAAAAACCCCCACAAAATTTTGGGTTTTGAACTGGCTAGTTTAGGATATGAGTCAGAGTAACCCTGGCCTGAGAGAGAATTCTTTTAAAATGAGAATTGAGAATTGTAAAAAATTCCATTTTTAAAATGAGAAACTACATAAAGTCTTAAGACAGATTTCACTTCATTAGAAAGACTTTATATAAACTGGAGAATATAAAAGACTTTTTATTCCTTTTAGAAACATGGAGGGATCCCCCCCAGCCCCCCATACTTGTAATTCCTCTTTTGGAGATTTAACTCTAAATAAGTCGTATCCAAGGAAATCTCAAGTTTTGAGAAAGAAATTCCATATGACTCTTGTTACCGCATATAGGATGAATTCCCAGCAGAGCAACATTTTGCTCAGTAGTAGTAAAGTACATCTTGAAAGATGTTTCTGCTTTCTGATTTCTGTACCCAATTGATCTGTCACATGATGTTCTCTTAGACTAATACAGTTTTGCTTACATAAGAACATACTGAGGAAACACCCCATATATGAATATGTTCCTACTCATGCAGCAACTAGACTACCTGTTTTGAAGTACTTCTATAAAATACTAGTCATCTTAGTTTATCTATGATTTTTAGCCTAAAACCTAAACAGCTCTTCCCCATTAATATTCTTCCTGGGGTGAACTATACGAAGTTACCTGAAAAATAGTAACTTTTTTTTCAATATTTAATCAGTTAGAGTGCTACATGGTTAAGTTTAAAAAGGGTTGCATGCAGGGAAAAATGAAATTTGGCAAGGGTTATAATTTCACTCTTGACTTACTTCCGTTCCATGGAAATACTGAGAGATGGAAACAAACACACATAGGGTTCAATGACCCAGAAAAAACAGTATACTCTTTTTGCAGAGACTGACTAATGAGAAAAAGAATAAAGACACTCCAATTTAAAAAATAAAATAAAAAAAAAATCAGCTCTGACAGAGTTTAGTTTGTCAGGTAGATACTGACAAGAATTTCTAACAAAAGTTTCCATCAACAGTAGTCACAAGAAACCCAACTTTTGGCTCACTTAGAGCAGCTTACATTTTGGTTTGAGTAACATGCTAAAATCCATGCTGGATCAGGAGAATCAGTGATTTAAAGAAAACAGCACATAAAATTCAAAAAAAGCAATCTGCTATTGGCTGTCTTTGGAAAGAAAAAGCACCATATTTCTCATTTCAAGTGATTCCAACTCCTGTCTTCCCAGAAAAAGGCAAGTCAACAATTTTTGTCTTAAAACTAGAGAGCAAAGCAGTACCAGAACTTAGGAGTGTAACACAGGTACCCTGTTAGTACCACCACAATTTGCACAGTCAAATAATATTGTCATACACTTTCACCATATACAGACTAAAACACAAAAGAAAAATATTTTTGGTTGTACAATTATGCTTACACACCAGGGATTTTACTGACACAGCTACTGCAAGCAGTGGTCTATTCCTCCCTCCTCCACCTATACTTGCAAATACATAGCATAGACATAGTTCTTCATGAGCAAGATTATTCATATTACTAAGAAGCCTATATGACAGGATTAACATTTACTGTAGAACTAGCACAGACTGATCAGCAAAGACACAAGGAGTGAAACTTACGCCAGAAAAAAACCCTATTGACAGAAGTCTGGTGTCAGTAAAACCACTTTCATTGTTATGGCATATTTGCTTAGGTAAACTGTAAACCAGCAAGAAACAGTGAATACATTTGCATGATTGCTGGTGTAGGAACAATCTAAATCAAAGTCAGTTTAAAAAAAACCCACACCTTGTTAAGTCTAATAAATAAGCCACATCAGCGTTCATCCTGTCAACCAGCTTAAAAACCCATTTTGCTTATTTTTATTCCAATAATGGTGTTGATGTGCTAGTGCATTATTTAAAATATACGTATATAGTAAATTCTCTAAAGCTGGGACAGCTTACAGAAATTTTTTATTTCAGTTTTAGGATAATAGTGGCTAAGAAAACAATTATAATATATATCATTAGTCAGTCTCCAGATGGAAACACAAAACTTTGGAAAACAAACAGTACTTCAATGTGCATCAATTCTAACACTCTTATGTTTACTTACTTCATTGAAGTGAACATCTTGCATACCAACATCCTCCATCATTGAAGCCTCTTCATCTATATTAGGTGTGATTACCCTGAAAGCAGTACAACCTTGCCTAAACATCCCTATCATTGAAAAAAAAAAAAAAAGAAAAGAAAAAAAAAGAAAAGAAGACAAATTTACTTTAGGCCATTTTGTGATGCTAGATAAGGCAGAAGCCTTATTTAAATACTGAATTAATAACTAAAAAAAATCCATCCTCCCACCGCATGATTAAAATATTAAAGCTCACATTACTGTGTAAGTATAAACAGGTTTTAAAAAAAAAAACCTTACAAGTGTTAATATCTGGACTCTTATCTACCAAAATAAGTAATGTCTGACTCTTCCTATTTTATATTAAACCTGCATCTAATCTACCCCACCCCAAATCTGAAGTAACCAAGGTAACTTTTATAGTATGCTGGAACCATGCACATGAACAGGCCCTGGCATATCAGCTTCCCCAGTCTGAACAATACGAATGGACTAACATCAACCACAAAAAGAGCAGAGGATGGCAATATGGATTGTTCAGCTGCAGAGACAGAAAGTCAGTCTACAAGCAAGGAAAAAAAAAAATCAAACCAAACCAACCAACACACCAGCAATCTAAGTTCCTTTACTGAAATAAGTATTTAGCAAACATGAGTTTTAAAATATTCTAGCATGAAACGTACCTCTTTTAAGCATTGTTTAGCTCTTCTTTATCATATTGAATTGTTGAATTAAGAAATCAGGATTTTTGGCCAAAAATTGTATTAATTGAAGCCTCAAGAAGAATCAGTGACAAATACAGAAGCGCAAGGACATGCACTTATTTATTTCACAGCTCATTCCTACAAAGATTCTTTCTGCTCACGTGGGAGTCTGACCACCAGAGGTTTTATTGAATGACTGCCTTAAATGCATGGTTTTGTTTTGTTCCTGGAAATACCACTCCCAAAGGAGTCACAAATTAATACAGATTACCACTATTTATCAGTTAGTTGTTTTCAGGGTTGCAAGAGGACATAGTAACTTTGACAAGTTTCAGATTTGGTCTCAGAGAAGCTTCTGAAATCATTGGGGCAGATGGGATAGCCTATACACTACACAAGTATCTGGCAAGAGGCGCAAAAGGAACTGAGAAAAGGCATCTTGCAGACTCGTGGCTTGGCTTCATTTTGAACTGTCACGCAAAGGCAAAGCTAAAAAGCTGTGAACATGAATTTGCCTGCTACAAAAAGAAAACACTGGCTCAACATCACCATAATCAATCTAAACAGATTTCTGAAATTTTCTTCCAGAGATCTATTTTTCTTATAAAAGTCATCTATTCTATTTTCTCAAATCCCTGAGAACTCTTCTGATTCTATAGATGTAAGATAATTTTCTACCCTATCTCAAGAGTCAAAATTGCTTACTTTGACAGACAGCTGCTAGCACAGAACTCCAAGACAGGTGAAGCATTCTGAGTGCTATGATTACTGGCTCAGCATCTGAAAATTTGTACAAATTTATTTTGACTTCTCTGGCAATGCCAAGTTTCCCTCTGTGCAGTGAGAGACTACTTGTGGAACAAGAATATTCACTGATAAGATTGCTTCAGAAAGGGTCTGACTTTGGCTGTTAGCAGCTCTCACGTAAAATTAAAATTTTTATTTTCCTAAAAATTCACTTTACCTGCATCTGAAATGCTGCCCCTTAGATATGCAAGTAAGCTCTTAAATATGTGAGCCTGCTACCTGGTTAGGTCAGAATTTTTTCCTTGGTGAACACTGAAATGCCTAAAACTTGCTCAAGGAAGCTACTGCTTTTCCTAAACTATAATAAAAAAATATAAACATTAAAGCAAGATTTCAAAATCATACCTTTTCGTGTGAGATATTCTGCGACCAGTGCTGCTACATGGACATAGCACATTGCCGCCTAAAACAGAAATAGTAACTTATAAATTACAATTATAAAGGAACTACTAAAAAGAAGGTATAAAATAAGAGCCCCAGCCTGAGATAATTTCTTTGGTTTTCCTTTTTGCTGCTTTGCAGATGTTCTATGACTGGTGTAAGAATTCTCCGTCTCATTTATGCAAAACAATAACTGTTTGCACAAGAGCAGTCCTTTTTCACCAAAGCATCAAGTAGCATGGACAGCAGTTCACAGTCTGAGAGTGACCACGGATCACAAGTCACAAGGTAAGAACGCCATGGTATAATAAAAGCAGGAAAATCTCTTTTGGGATATATTTTAAGTGTTATGTGAAAGGCTGCAGAATCTCAGACACTGGAATTGAAGGAAAAAGGTAAGTATCTGTCAGAAATTCTCTCCAGTTTGTACTTTGTATGGAGTTGGGCTTGGTGATTTACAGAGGTCCTCATCTAGCCGTATGGTCAAAGATTCTAAGTTTTCAAACAAAAAAAAAATAAAAACAGACTTGAAAAGGACTAATAGAGCTTGTCTTCTGAGAGCTGAAATTGTTCAAAATACAAGCTAATAACAGTATTGTATATGCCTTCTGCGTTGCTACCATATAGAAAAAAAGAATTCGAGTACAAAGACATGAGTAAGAAAGAAAGCAGCTACTATTTCCTGGAGATATTTACTTGCTTACATGATGCTAAGTTTAACAGACATGTTTATGAAATTCAATTATGTGATGCAATGTGGTTTACTTTCAGATGGAATAAAATTCCAGCAACAGACAAAATTGATCCTGTACACTGATAAAATACTTACATCAGGACAAATAAAAATCCCCACTCCCAATTCTCCCTTTTGCTAGAATTAAATACTTGAACAGCACGGTGAAATCAGATAGCTTTCTTCTTCCAAACAAAAAAAATTGCAATTTGTCCATTTTAAGAACATTAAGAGTTTTTTGTAAGCAGTTTGGAATAGAATCAAGCTAATTTTGTAAAGGCAAGTGCAAAGGAATTTAAGGAGTGGCTTTAAGTGTTTTAGCAACTGATAACAAATGTATTTTTAAGTAGAAAGTCTGTGTCTTCCATGGTTTGCTTTGAGCATTCCTGGCTTAGTAGCATGTCAGCTACAGTAGTTAAACATATACCTTACATTAGTAATCAGAAATGACTTACAGATGTACTTGGGTAGGATGAAAAACTTAACAGCCGTTGAAACTAATCTACTAACAATTTGAAATTTATTAGAAACGTCTGTTGTATTACACACTTACAGCTACATATAGTACATTCAATTTCAAGAAAGACGAGCTTAAGTTTATTACGAAGATAAAACTAGTTTTGATTTTTTTTCTCTTACCTCTGAAAGATCTCCATTTTTAACGTGGATCCTTGCCATGCTGTCTAACCATGTCTTCCTTAGTTCAGGGGTACTAGCATAAGACTTTGCCAAACTGTACTGGAGGTCTACAAGCATTTCTGGATCATTTTCGTGTTCCTTCATCTGAGCTGTAGCCATCAGTACTGTACGAATCCGTTTTGTTAAATCCTTAACATCAGAAGGGAATGTAGTGTGCTAAAACATAAAAAAGTTAGGTTAACTACTATCTTTTTCTGTTCTTTGCATAATAAAAACTTGAAACATAATTGCAAAAGATGCTATGAAAGTTTTCAAGCATCCTTCTAACAGTATGGAAAGAAGAATAAAAACAGACCTTTATAATTCTGTCATTATTGGCACAATTATTGATGATGGAAAGAGACTGCTGAAATCTAGTTCCTCCAATTCCAACAACATCAGCAATTAGCTGGCTTACTGAAATAATAACCTTGACAGAAACAAATGTCTTGTTAGTGCATATTTCATACCCTTGAAATGTACCTATGAAGCAATTACAAAGGATGTTTTGTTCTTTTTAACTGAAAGATTATTCCCTTAAGTAAAATTATATTTGATTTTTTTCCCAAAGTTACTTGTTTAATAACACAAGCAAGGAAAAACAGGCTTGTGAAAATTTAATGCACCTGCATTCTCTGCTCTAAAGACTGACTGCTAGGTGAACTAGCCAGAGGTCATAAAAGTAGTAAACTATTGTTACCAGCTTTGTCAGAACACACAGTTTTCTATGTATTTGTTTTAGACTTTTATGTGCTTGTTGCTGCATTCTTGTCTTCAGACGCAACGTGGTATGCCATTTAACAATCACAATAACATCTACAAAACAGAACATTTGCTGCTCACAAATAAAAATTATTTCCTACAAAAGACAGGGCCATCCAATTGTTTCTAAGTATTTCCTTGTACTGAATGTACTTTTATTGCCATCTTTTTACTCTTAGAATTGTATCAGCCTCGCTTGAACTCAAAATAATTTCTTGTATGTCTTTATCTGACAGGGCTTTGCACACTGGTATGCAACTGTGCATCTACAAATACAATATTTAAAAAAAAAAAGAATAAAGAAAATATACTAACTTGCAGGTGTGTCCTAACAAAAGACTTCTTTCCTGTGTAATCAAAATTATTCCTCATTAAGAAGTACAGTAATTGTGAAGCTTCAGTACGAATTGAACTCAGTTTGGAATTACAATACTTCAGAATTTCATAGCACAGTGCAGAACACATATCAGCTCTACCTTCATAAAACATAGAAGGAAACTGAGGAAAAAGTAGAAAAAATGTTATTCATTAACACTACCTTCAGTTCTTGATAAAATAAGCATGTCAAGTGAAATACAAATATATTAACATTCCCAAACTGTGGAAGAAATAGACAGTTACAGTAGTTCATGACAAAACAATTTTTACAGTAATTCAAAGGACAATTATTCCACACTGTTGGGATCAGATCAATCCTTATACACCGATTTTAATTTGGGATTTTAGTTCCTCAATTTTTACATAGTATATTGTTAACTAAAGAACTGGATAAGTACTTGAAGATTCATTATTTTAAAACTTACCTTAAAAATAAGTGCCCTTAAAGCAATGAAGACATTTTTCAATGCTGTTTCAGACTGATTCTTCTGAAGGAAGCAGAGGTACACATCAAATACTTTCTTCATCAGTGGATTATGCCCATGATCAGTCAGCAGTTGATTCTTTAAATTGACAGTGAGAATTTAGGAGTTTTGTACAGTGATACATTTATACTATTCTAAGAACATACACAGATCATCAAAGCAGGAAATAATAATTAAAAAAGAATGTGTATAGTATTACTAAGATGTTTAATAACACAAACATATCTGAATTTTAATTAGATATTTCTAACACTTCATTAAGCTTGCTTATAAAGAAAGTGTTAGCTTCTGAATAGATTTCTAGAACACTATTGTTTTTAACAGCTGTTAGTTAAATCAATTACTATTAACAATTCTTTGAGAGGCGCAAGGTATTAACAGACCGTGGTTACGCTGGCTTTAGCAGCCCAGACAGTGCAATTTTCTCACAGCAGTACCTCCTACTACAATGATCTCAAAAAAACTCCCCCAAATTAAATTCTCACCCACTCACCATTTTTCATTACTGTCCTAGAACTGAAAGGGCACTTAAGGACAAAGATTTAATTAGTCTGCAGAATTTTACCTGCATCAATACTCAAAAGCCCATTCTGAGGCATGCAACACACAGGGCTACTCTTCATTTCTGTATCACCAACCTGCTGCCTTGCATTCTAACTTGTCTTTTTAAATCTGGTCTCCTCCAATTTCTCTAGCACAGGTACTGGCTTTTACACTTCATATTGCTGCTGTTTTGCTCTGGGGACCTGTTTTCTTCCTCTGTCCACCAAGCATATGCACTAGGTTCCTATGGGACTCTAGGACGAAACAACGAGGTCTCTCCTCTTACAAAACACGAAAATAGGTTAATCCATTCAGGGACTGCTCAATCCAGCCCAGGGAGTCCAGAAGTGAGAGGACCATGTTAAGTATTGCTTCCTCTGACTCCACTGGCCCTCCAACAAGATTCTACTAGGTCTTGCACCTTCTGCATCTCCCCTTAGCACACTCCACTCTTCCTTGTCATTACTATGTACTGGCATCCAAAGGGTATGCTGCAAGGCAGCTCCATTACTATCTCAAGTAAGTTTTAAGGTAATATTAACTCAAAGAATCTAGTTTAACAAATATTTTAAAAACCCCAGTGTAGACCTGGACTCTTGTGGCATGCCTTAAGCCCTCTCAAAAATGGAAGAGATGTCTAACTGCAGATATCTCCTTTTCTATTCATGGAGACACAGAAGAAATTCTTCAGGCTAAAGAATTTCAGCATAGCCCTAGGCATTTCAGGTGTTCCTCAATATTAAAAAATTGGAGGCAGCAGTCCTCCATTAAAAGCCATTGTGATAGTGTGACTTGCAGTCCAGAAGAACTCAGTGTGGTTTCAAGCTTTGTGGATGAATAGATACAAATGCTTCCAGGAGACCAAAGATCTCCAAAGACTATGCAGTGACACCACAGGCAGGCCATTTTAGAGGAAGCTACACATAAATGGTTGGATCTAAGCCAGTCAGCCTATTTGGTCATAGGAAAAAGTTTTGTCTCTTGGAACAGTATACAGATCTCTGTGGATAACCCAAGCCTAAACACCTAACTGCAAGTTCTACAAGATGGTATGGCTTACTACTTCCAGATTTACAGCAAAATAATGAAACATTGTCTAACAAACTCCTATCCTTACGAGGAAATTGATATAATATCCATTCTTCAGACATCCCAACATCAGAGATAGGTAGTTCACTAAAACCACCTAAAGCAGTAGGAATTCACACAGGATCAGTGAAAATTCTACCAAGAAGCAGACATAATTTGTGATTTCGCTACTGTAATAGATAACAGAGATCTGGATCCCCACTAGTGAAAGATGATCTTGAGGAAAATATTGTCCGGCCTTCTATATAATACGCTAATTATTCCCCAAAGAAGCAGACTGATATTACTAATTTGGTGGTCTTCTATGATGGAGTCACCACATCAATGGACAAGGGAAGAGCTATGAACATCATCTATCTGGACTTCTGTAAGGCCTTTGATATGGTTCCCCAGAACATTCTTGCCACTAAATTAGAAACATGGGTTTGACAGATGGACTGTTAGAAGGATAAGGGATTGGCTGTATGGCTGTGTCCAGAGAGTTACACTCAATGGCTCGATGTCCAGGTGGAAACCAGTAACGAGTCTGCAACCTTAAGGGTGCATACTGGGACCAGTACTATTTAATATTTTCATCAGTGACACAGACAGTGGGATTGAGTGCACCCTCAGCAAATTTGCAGACAATACCAAGTTGAGTAGTGCAGTTGATTTGCTAGAGGCTTCCCTGTAGCATGCCATCCAGAGGGACCTCGACAGGCTTGAGCAGTGGGCCCATGCAAACCACATGAAGTTCAACAAGGCCAAGTGCAAGGTCCTGCACATGGGTTGGAGCAATCTCCAGTATCAATATAGACCTAGGGATGAATGCATTGAGAGCAGCCCTATGGAGAAGGACTTGGGGATACTGGTGGATGAAAAGTTGAACATGAGCCAACAATGTGTGCTTGCAGCCCAGAAAGCTAATTGTATCCTGGACCGCATAACAAGAAGCACGGCCAGCAGGTCAAGGGAGGTGATCCTCTTCCTCTGTTCTTGTGAGACCCCACCTGGAGTACTGCGTCCATCTCTGGGGTCCCCACTACATGAAAAACATGGATGTGTTAGAGCTGGTCCACAGGAGAGCTACAAAAATGGTCAGAGCGCTGGAGCACCTCTCCTATGAAGACAGGCTGAGACAGCTGGTGTTGTTAAGCCTGGAGAGACCTGGGGAGACCTCACTGCAGCCTTTCAATACATAAAGGGTGCTTACGCAGAAGTTGGAGAGAGACTTTTTACTGAGGCCTGTAGTGACAGGATAATGGGCAACAGTTTTAAACTGAAAGAGGGAGACAGTAGGTTCAGATTGCACATAAGGAGGAATTTCTTTATTTACTTATAATGAGGGTGGTGAGACACTGAAACACGTTGCCCAGGGAAGATGTGGATGCCCCATCACTGGAAGCGTTCAAGATCAGGGGTTTGAGCTACCCGATCTAGTGAAAGACATCCCTGCCCATGGCGGGGTGTGTGTGTGTTGTGTGTTGGACTAGATGACCTTTCAAGGTCCCTTGCAACCCAAACCATCCTATGATTCTATGATTTTATGTATTTTAGTGCAGCTGATTGAAAAGAAGCTCCTGATTCTCCTGCCTGTTTTGTTTGGATCTTATAGACTATTCTGGTAGACTATTCCTATAGACTCTTACCTACTTTCTTAACATACCGCATACAGAAAATGTTGAAGGACTGTCATTCCAAGTATGATGGGCAGCTGATAACTAAAATATTAGTGTTCATTCTTCTTTAAATCATTAAAACTACATATCTTCATTTCCAATTCTGTCATGACAACTGTGGACAGAACTGGTTCTAAACTCTATCTAATTAAATTACTAATAAAATGAATCTCATTATAAATAAGCTCATGTTTTCATAACTAGATTAAAGATAAGACACTAAATTTGAATCTTCAAGCAAGGATTTGGATACACTGCTCTAATTAGGGGAGAACTTAGAGCTATCATTTCTCCTTTTTGTAGCTTCGGCTTTAATGTTTGGAAAAGCTCAAAAAAACAGGAGGGGTATTCAAGTGGGCACGCTATAAAAAGATTCCACAGGAGAGCTACAGTAACAGATACAACCAAAAGAAGTCTTATTAGTGGACAAATTGAAATAAAATTACAGAAAAGGAACACACACAAAAACTGTTAATTAATGAGTGACTTAATATAAAAAGCCAAGTTCAATAGAAAAGTCTGATAGTGTCCAATTAGCAATTATGGTTTTGCCATACAATAGATCTTTCACCCCACATGGCCTTTAAAAGACAGTTTTACCACTAATATTAGGTAGACACTGAAGTTTCTAGAAATATTTCTTTAGGTAGTTAGGATGAGGAATGAGCTTTTCCCACAGGTTACTGCTGATCAGTCTGTGTGCAATGTGTAACTGAAGCCAGGGTATTTTGCTGCAAGAAGTTATCAGCTTTTACATGACACAAGAATGAAATGCAATGCTAGAAATGCTAAAAATACAGTGCTATGTTACCAGAATATAAAATATAATTTAAACAATATTTTTAAAAATATTTTTTCTGAAAGATAATTATGGGAGATGTTAACACCAAGTCAAGAACAAACCTTAAAAGCCATTGTGAATAGTGATAGAGTATCCAGAATTGTAAGGCAAACTTCAGTGGCAATATTTGCTTCAAGTAAGGACTGGTGAAGAACGTCTGCATCTGAATGCCCATAGCCTACAGAAATTCCAAAGGTAGTGTAAGTGCTGGATATACTCATTTAAATATGTTTCTTATTTCCAAAAGGCTTGCCCAACGAGGAAAAGATTAACAAGTAAAAAGCCTGACAGAAGTTAGTATTCAATACAGAAAAATAATTCATATGCATGTAAATATTTTTCAAATATGTGTATATAATTATTCTAACATAATTTGCACAAGATCATAAAATACATTAAGTACAAATGTGAACAGTAAAAAGCATTAAACAGCAGTTAAAACAATAAATGTCTGGCGAGTCATATATATGTGTATGTACATATACACATTTATAAATAAATGTACAGTTATATATACACACACATGCATATATATTTAAAATACATTAAGTACAAATGTGAACAGTAAAAAGCATTAAACAGCAGTTAAAACAATAAATGTCTGGCAATTCATATATATATGTATGTATATATACACGTTTATAAATAAATGTACAGTTATATATATACACACACGCATATATATATTCTTAAAATAAGTACTGCAGTAGGATGTAGTTACAGCTGAAAATTGGTAATTTAGCAATGTTATAATGATGCAAAGTCAATCATAAGTCAACCATTGTAAAAATACAGAACACTGTATACAGTACAGTCATGTACTTATAGGCAGTGAAATCTCACTTACACCACTACTTCAGTTCTATTTCTTGCTTAAATGATTAGAAAGGGAGAAATTAAGTTTATAATTTACATTTATAGACAACTATCTTACCAAAGAATCATGATTTCAGAAACAAGTAAAGCAACTATTTCCACCAGGAACATCTCTCTTGTATGTATGCCATACAGGATACCTATGAGATCTATTCAAGTTCTGAAAACTACCTTGGATACATGATACAGACAGACTGACAACTAAACAAAACTAGAAGTTAGACAACAACAAGACCAAAGATATAAAAATCAATTTCACATTTGACATGGCTTTTACAGCAACATATTTTTACTTTGTAAAACCTTGGTCAATACAAGATGTTATATCCTCATATTCATTAAAAGTCCAACATTGAAAAAAACCCTGTTATCACTTTACAAAAAGTTATCTGAATGAGACACCTTCCTTCATAATTTCCTCCAGATGGAGAAGAACAGAAAGTTTCTTTTTACATAAGCATGCATTTATTAAAACCTTTCAGCTCACTGTTTCCTAAAAAACAGTAAACTTTGCCAAGTTCTGGAAGTATGAAATCTCTTTTCACAGGGCCCAGAAACAGCCATGTTATTTCTTTCACAGAGATTTTTTTTCTTTAAAATCAGTCTTCATCTACAAAGTATTTTACCTTACTGTGTAGTCACATAGCATAAAAGGTCTGTCTTTTGTGTATCAAAAATACATAGAAATTACTATGACACAGCAATAGCAGACTGATTACAGGCAGGGGAAAAAGTAATTTGCACAGCTATATAGTTTTCTGACATTTTTTAAATCAAAGAATTGCATTTCTTATATTTAAACGGGCATGAGAATGCATTTGTAAACAAACAGGTTTGGTGGAATTTTTATTCCATTTTCCACTAGTTTATGGTAAGTCTCGTGCAATTAGGCTAACTGTTGCTTTATATTACACATAAGGAGCTAAAAGATTTTAAGAGACAGTTAGATATGTTTTGGAAAACAAAAGGATGAACACAGTGAACATACAGTTAACTCAAATAATTGCTTTACTGCACACAATTCTTTTCAGTACCAGTGTTGTATTTTACTAGATTAGTCAACCAGTTTCATTGCTTTTTGAAGCTAGAGATTGAAAAACGGTGCTTCAGAATACTGTACATACAGTATATTTTGCAATTTAAGAGCAGCATGTTTAAAAAGATAGGCTACAAGCAGATTTAGTTTTCAATACAGCAGTCTCATACAAGCTGACTTCAACCTGATTAAATCTTACCATTGTCTACAGAAATTCCAAGAATACTTGATATCTTTCTCACACTGAAAACAGAAAAATCACTTCATTATTGGACGCTTTTTCACTTCCAGACAAACCAAATCATGGGCTTCACAAGCTCTGCAGAAATTCTAAGAAACTTATTTCTCCTTAGGGGATGTCAAAACATGGAGACATGGTCAGAGTGCATATTTTTAGTTTTAGATTAATCATGTACAAGATGAAGTTGGGGAAAAAAAAAAATTAAGCTTAATAAAGCCAATAGAAAAAATAAGTAAATTCTGAAACGATGTGCAGCACAAAGTTGAAGTGCCTATAATTAAGTACAATTTAAAAATACACTGTAGTTAACCATGCTCCATGTTATGGCATCAGCCAGCACTGATTACTCTATCATAATGCAGGGAACAGATCATTGACTGATTCCAGCTATTCGTTTGACCTAGAACAATAAAAGTCATTGAAATGCACTGGTGTGGCTCTGGGACCTGTCTCTGGTGTTGTGGTACTGGTTGAGGATGACGAATGTTATCATGTCATGAGACTTACTGTGGTTAAAAGTGAGAGAGTTATCCAGGCTGCTCAGCTGCTGCAATCTGGCATGCATCATTCCTGTTCTGTTACGGGAAACAGGCAATGTCTGAGATTTTCGATCATGAACTATGGATCCCAACCCCTCCTGGTTCCTGCAAGATGGGTGAAATGGGATAGAAGCAAAAGTTAGACATGTCAAACTGCAGCAAGACGGGAAGTGTTAGTTAAGCACAAGAAGTTTTAGAGAAAGAATTATAATGCAACCTATTTACTGTTTTATTTATAAAACAAAAATAGGCAGCTTAAAAAAAGTATCACAGCAAACTCTTTCTTAAAACCTCAAAGCATGAAAGCAAAAGCACACAAGCAGTTGCTCTTAAAGCGCTAAATTTACTTCAGAGCTTTTGAGAACACAAATATTTGAGAACATAAATATTCTGAAAATATTCAGAACCCCAAACCAAATCCTCTATTTTGATTGTAAAAATTTTAGAAAAAAAATTAGAAAGACACACAGTGGTAAAATTAGAAAGCATACATGCAACAGGAGAGCAGGAATTAACTGAGGTATTATCATGTACATCTTACCCAAGCAGGAAGGGAGAAGAGCCATATACTTTGTTAAACTTGCAGCAATCAAGTGAAGAAAACAGAAAAGTGACCTGTGTTAGCAATCAGTACAGGCTAACTTCCTATTGTGTACCACCACCAGAGCTGATGAAAAATGAAAACCAGTGCTTGAATTACAGAATTCCCTGTTTCCTTTCTCTGTCATTTGTGTATTTTCAGAGTACGTGCATTGATTGTGATATATTTTTAGTGTAATGACAACGTGAAAGACTAGAAAGCTACATCTTTGGGGAAAATTCAATATCCCTGCAGAACACCAGAAGAATTCTATAGTTTAACATTTTTAGCGTTAACATGCAGTACACAGACTAAGAGATCAGTAAACAAAAAGGAGATGTAGTAGTCTTCTCTACAAACAATTCAAACAATGATTTTGCAGAACTTTTACAAAAAGCCTGAAAATTACGAACTGCTGTAAATCCAGACTTTGAAGTACATGTAAGCACAAAGGTTACAATCAGAACCTGAATGAAGCCAGATTTATTTTGGCCGTTGAATTTTTTAGGGTAGGTGAACAGAAATGAGATTTTTCTTTTTTCTGAAAAATCTCCAAGAAGATAGTCAACTTTCTTGTTTGTAGAAAGAGATTTACACACCATTAAATCTAAATTAAAAACAAAAAGCTAACATATTAGTTGGAATGCTTTACAACCCAAAGTCAGCAACAACTTTCTCACTGAGTTCAAGAGGGCCAGTATTTCAACCCCACACGTTTAATTATAACAATATTAACATGTCAACCACAGCATAAGGTGTTAACAATTATCTATATTTTACTCTATTAAAAAACTACTTTGCATTAAACCCCACATTAATGCAAAGATATTAAAATAATTTAGTATACGTTTCTGATTCATACAGATTTTCTCCTAACCAGCCTTCAGTGGGAGTGTTCAAGTATCTAACAGTACTTTGGACTTTGAATTGAAAGTCAGCAGCATTGGAATGTTCACTACTCACCTTTCAAAGTAAAAACTCTCTACACAAAATTTCTAAAACATTTAAACGGCTATGATTTTATGGCCAAGTGAATAAACAAAACAAATCATAAGATTTATTCCCCAAAGACATTATTTCAAGGAAAAAAATGCTGTAAAAGATAGCATTTAAAGGGTGGATTTTAAAATAATTGATAATAAACACAACACACACACATCATTCTTAAACAGATACCAGACTTTCAGACAGGATATAGATTTGTTAAAATAGTAACCAGTTACTTCAAAACTGTTATGTATCATTTCACAGTAACTCTTCTACTCATGCAATTTATTTGTAATAGAGATACAAGGCATATTGATTGTACACACTATTATTCTTAAGTGAACAAGACAGCAAAATTTAAATTCCACACAGTACCTGGCTATGTATCGTTTTCCCATGTACTGGAACTGATGTAAGCATACTCTGCAGAGAACACAAGTCAGAGAAGCAACACTTAAAACAATCTTTTCTAGATTTATGTACATTGGAGTTATTCAACTATTACTTTTTATTAACTTTAAACTCTTACATCATAAAACTTCTTTATTTCTCCTGCCCTTAAAATTCCCTTCCAGTCTCCAAGCCAATAAAAGGTAAACATGGCTCTCATGAAACCAGAGATGGTTGTTGTTTCGGGCAAATTGGGATTAATAGCAAAAGGCATGGAAGGCTGCCTCCCGAGCATGCCTATCTCAACACTCTCAATCAGAACACCTAGTGGGAGTCTAACAACCACCATGTAGAAGGACCAAATGGTGAAAACACAAAACACGTTGGAAAACTGTAAATAGTGAGTTCAAGTGCTTCATCTTGGTTAGAGTTTTAATATTTATAGAAAAAAAAACATTTAGCCTCAACTATCACAGACAAAATTTCATTATGTGGAATGCGGCCCACAGTTACTGTTATTTACAAATGAACAGCAATCCAGGACGAGTAACATGAAGTATGAAAGTAGAGATAACCAGACATTACATATATACACATATTTTGCAAAATGTGTATAAGGGTTCAAAATAAGGGCAATACATTTTGCTTTTTTTCCCTTAGCCTAAACTCTCTTGGTTACAGGTTGGGGGTGTTTTGTTTATTTTGTTTTCTTACGGTCTCCAGATTCCAGGATAACAGCAACAGGGCTTCTGACAGAACTATTTTATAAAAGGAATCTGATTTTACAATAAGATGATGCTAAAGGAACATCCCAAAGATAATTTTTTATTAAAAAAAATAAATCTATATTTCAATATGATGTTATATTTTAAAGAATCATCATAATATTACTGGTTTAGATCCAGCAAGAAAGCTGAAAGTACAACCTAATTTGCCAGGTGCCTCTGCTTGTCTTCACAACTGGTAATACACATCTCTGATGACTAATAAACTAGAAGTCACACTTTCAAATCAAGAAAAATGGCATGAATGGAAGCTGTAATAATGATTTCATCTGACTCTTTTCCCACTGCAAGTAATGATCCTTGTAATTCAGAACACTTAACGCAACTTCCCTTGTCCCTTGGGTAAGAATATTCTTGAAGTTGTTCTTTAAAGCATAAATCCAAACTGAAAGCCAGTTTTCAGGCTTTCTTTTCCATGTGCCAGTTGTGAATGAGGGAGAAGACTGGCAAATAGTCTCTTCAACTCAGCCCCATTTTGTACTCAGACATTAAGTACGTTAGCTGTCTGCAAATGGCAGAGTCAGAATGGCGCTTGCCTCCTCCCCAAACTTTTTATTCTATTTGCAAATTAACCTCAATTCCCCTTTCTGATATCTTCTTGTCTTTTTTAGATTCTAAGTTTTTCTGAAACAGTTCTTTGCATGGAGACTACCTACCAGAACACTGTCTTACTGAGATAATGAGAAACTACTGTAATGACCTGTATTAATAAAAATCATCATCAAAGTGAATGTTATTTGCATTGGCAAAATACTCCTAGAATTGGAAGAAGTAGACTTTTATGAGCTTTGTTCCTGCTGTAGTTTAAGGAACTATGATATCATCCACTGCACTAACAAGATGAAAATTTTATTCTGTATGCCATATTGCCATTGTGATGGAAATCTTTGATAATTAGTAATTTGAGATTACTGATTTGATCACAAACCAATCCTACACAGTCCATAAATAAGTCTCTAATGGCAAAATACTGTTCACCAGTGAACCTGTACAGTTTACACCTCAGGCTTCAGCAAGTCTAGTAAGTAGGCTCATTTACTTGTTCAGTTCTGTCTCTGGTACAATCAATATCATGCCAGATGTACTCAAATGATGAGTTAAAACACTATCTACAATATATTCCTAAAATAGGCCTTGAGCAGCACATTCCATAACATCATTAATGACTGATATTACGTTGATTGAGCCTCTACTACAGAGACAAAGGAAAGCAGTCCGGTGAAACAGCAAGACAAGCAGAAAAGCTTCTGTGGTGCATCACTTCAAGCAAACAGTGCCTCCATCACCTTTCATTAGTGCAACAGTCAGTCCTTGTGAACAAACACACTAAGTGGGCATAGGGCTTGAGTGTAGTCATTGATAACAAACACTGGATTCATCCTATACGTTCTCCCTTACAGAATCTTTTTGTTTTTGAAGTTATGCAATTCAGTCAGTTTTGATAATCTACCATATAATTTCAACAGTTTGTGTCCTGGTTTTGGCTGGGATAGAGTTAATTTTCTTCCTAGCAGTGGGTATAGTGCTGTGTTTTGGATTTAGGATGAGACTAATATTGTTTCTAGTTGTTGCCAAGCAGTCAGGGATGTTTCAGCTTCTCACACTGCCCTGCCAACGAGAAGGCGGGGGGCACTCAAGAAGCTGGGAGAGGGCACAGCCAGGATAACTGACCCAAACTAGCCAAAGGGATCACAGAATGGTTTGGGTTGGAAGGGACCTCAAAGATCACCTAGTTCTAGTTGTGCTTGGGATTGCTGCCATCCATGGGCAGGACCTTGCACTTGGCCTTGTTGAACTTCATGCAGCTCGCACGGGCCCAGCTCTCCAGCCTGTAAAGGTCCATATGGATGGCATCCCTTCCCTCCAGCATGTCAACCACACCACACAGCTTGGTGTTGTCAGCAAACTTGCTGAGGGGGCACTCGATTCCACTGTCCATGTCGCTGACAAAGATGTTGAACAGTGCCGGTCCCAGTACTGA